TCTTGGGAGAAGAAGATACAGACTGTTTTTAAACGCCATAGACTCCCTGATATGCTCATCCCGGCTTGTAGGTTACCATCCTGGGTCTCCAACCAACTTATCCCCAAGTTTATAGAGATAGACCAACAAAACTGGTTACATGGAACTGAGTCGATGCCAAAGCTTAGAACTTATAAACTCTTCAAGTCAGCATTACATACTGAGCCATATGTACAACTTCCAGGTTACATGAGAAGTAGGGCTGCGCAATATAACCGGTTTACCGGTATTAACCGGTTCAGACATGAAAACGATACGTTTTGCAATACGCGGATAGAAAACCGGTATTTTGACTTGTATTCGGAAAACTTCGTAACACTCGGAAACCTTGATGATCGTGGCAATTGTGGTAATGGTGGTGGGAATGATCGTGGTGAAAATTACATTTAAATATTATCTATATTCTTATTTTGTCATGATTAAAGTTTTTATTAAAGCTTAATGAAGCATAGTGATTTCGTTGTGTTTTTGCTTTATAAATATAGCGTTAACTTGATCATTAGTAGTTTATTGTTAAAAAACGTCTTGCAATATATTACAATATATATCGCAATATAAGCTTTCGCATCGCAATATATCGCAATATGAACATTCTCTGCAATACCCACCCCTAATGAGAAGTATACTAGCATCCTTGAGATGTGGTTCCTTGAAGCTTGAGGTAGAAACGGGCCGCTATAGTAACCCACCAATCCCATCAAATCAACGATTTTGTAAATTCTGTTCGAACAATGTTGATGAAACCCATTTTCTCCTACACTGCTCCCTATATGAAGATATACGCAAAACAGAACTGCCTGCCGTCTTAAATGACAGCCAGACCACTGTCATATATTCACCTGCTGAATGATAATACCGCTATGTTTTTCTTAGGTAAAATGTGTTTTAAAATGATTAGTCGTAGAAGGTTGTTTTACCGCTCATAGATTATTTATATTTTATCCAAATATATTTTATCTATTTTAAGCTCTACAATGTATTTATCTATCCTTTTTATATATTTGTATATCATTTATGCCAAAAACCCATCTATATGAACGTATATGTTATAATGTTTTAATATGATTTGTTTGCCTGTCAATGAGGAATGAATGTGCTTATATGGATATGTATTTCTCATTACTTTATATATCTTCATCATTTAACGTATACTTTGTTTTATCGTCTCTCATAACCCACACTGGGTGGCGTTTGTACATCATCTCTCACATACATGTTGTTATTTTTTACTGTGTACATATGGTGAGACGCAAATAAAATATTTTGTATTGTATTGTTATGACGTGGTTGACGTCACAACAGCAGCATGTTAGGGGTCCCCAGACACCCGTTGTGGTTGATCCGGTTGATCCGGTTGATCCGATAATGTATGCAGGATAACTCATATATAGGGTAATGTAGGCCGCATGACGTCACAGGTCAGGAAAGGCTCATGCAAGGCGGATGTTTGAATGCGTTCATGCTTTCTTGCAGAAACCCCTTTACGAGACGAGAAAATAAAAGCAAAATCTAATGAATAGACCTATGTATAGACTGTAGATTGAGGCAAGCTGTCAGACCAGTTTGATTTGAGCGCGCTTGGCCTGCCCCGCATAGCCTGCCCGCGCTCAGCGGAGTTCTAAGTAGTCCGCGCTCATTTACCAGACAGACAGACAGACAGACAGATTATTTATTAAAGTCTCAACCCTGTTATACATATATACAAACTAATTAAACATATATTTACATAAGGGCCATTCCATACGGAATTATGAGAGACTAAAATTCTTAAAAAATTGCATGTACAGTAGAACACGGATATAACGAACTCCAAGGGACCAAGAAATTTAGTTCGCTATATCCGTTGTTCGTTATTCACATTTGACCGCCATCTTGGATTGTAGACATGTAGACATTCACAGACATTACCTATATCATGTTGATAAATATGAAGTTTATTTTTATAATAAAATTAAAATAATACAACTACAACTTAAATAAATTTATTTTTTAATGAAAATGCAAGCTTACATTTATAATGTCCAGATAAACCACGAAAGAAGCAAAACCTGTAGCGATTTTTTTTTCCATTTGTGACATGTCATAACATGCCCGTGCCTTTTTCTTTTATATTTTCATTTTTATGTAATCAGGCTTACCGTTCGTTAACATGACACAACAACGGGAAATTCTTCCGTTTTCGAAGCTTCGTATGAATAACATGCGAGGCGATTCGTGTGGTGTCTGGTATCGTTCGACAGCTCTGGAACATCAACAATATCACTGTACCCTTGCCGAGAGTATTTTCACAGTTGTAAAAAAGCGATTTTATTGGATAAAGATTGGTTTCTAATGACGCTTTTTCGCCACAGTCTGCTATAAGGATAGTTATTGGTCAAAATCATGTATTATGAGTACATGTATTATGAGTAACAATAATTAAAATTTATATAATACGGATTTTTTCCTTTTTAAAATAACATGGCAGGTTTTGGCAGCTATAAAACAGATATTGCTATTGGACAGGATAAAAGCAGTTTTTTTGTATATCAGTAAGATTACTAAAATTCTGACATAGGCTATCACAAGTATTGAAAAGACTAAAACATTCATCACTATAAACCGGACAATTAATTAAAATGTGAACTTCGTCTTCAACACAGTGTTTACAATAAAAACATTTTCTGTCGTTAAGTGGGATATTGTTATATCTACCCAGCTCAATATTAATTGGTGCAGTGCCGCATCTGAACTTAGCATATGCACTTCTGTATGGGCGGGGCATGGGATGAGTTACGTAAAATTCTGGGGTATAAACATCCTTAAAAGTACCATAAAAGCGTAGCTTATTTGTCCCCTGTTTAGATGGACCACAGGTATTCCCTACCGATTCCTTCCACTCCTGTCTATAAGTATCAAATAATTTCTGTAAAACGCTCTGTACAATAAACCTGGAGTTAAAACTATTAGTGGGGGAAATAAAGTGCTCAAGATCAACATTGGCTAACTTTTTGTGAATTTTAAAATTAAGGTTTCTTTTTCTTCTAAAAGCCCAGTGGTTACCCCAAAGAAAGATTCAGCTCGTTAGTCGATATTGATCCAGGTTACAAAGACGTTTATAAAATCTGACAACACTGCCCCACTGGCGAACGATAGGGGGAGTCCAACCCATGTCAAGTACGGTTAAATTCCTGATTCCCTCCAATGTGCTCGTGGTTGAATGAAGGCAGTGGGCTTGTAACGGCCATAAATACTTGGTAAATGAGGCAGCTACTGGACTGGCGGCGGCTAGACCTCGTCGTACTTGTGGTAGGACTGCATTTCTACATGGACCCGCTATTGACACTTTGCATTGGCCGTCGGCTGCAGGCAGAAGACCCCTCCAGTTCCGACACCTCACTCTCCATGGAACCATTAGTGACAGCCAAACTCAGGAAATGCTACTTCTACAAATGAAACATCGGCAGCATCCGCAACCTTCTCAGTAAGTCATCTGCAGCAGCACTAATGCGGTCTTTCGTCCTCTCCAGGCTCGACTACTGCAATAGTCTTCTTGATGGAGCATCTTCAGAGTAGACACATCGCCTACAGGGGGTCCAGAATGCAGCTGCCATGATTGTAACCAGATCACCAAAGCACTGCCACATCAAACCGATTCTTAGGTCCCTGCACTGGCTCCCAGTCCAGAAGAGAATCCAGTTCAAAGTCCTGACACGCACCTACCAATGTCTCAACGGAACAGCACCAAGCTATCTGTGTGAATTGGTCAGCGAGTACCACCATCCAGCCAGAAGACTCAGACCATGTTCGCAACACAATCTTATCATTCCACGGACAGAATTGAAAATCTTTGGATGTCGGTCATTCTCTTACGTATCGGCAAAATTCTGGAATGTTCTTCCAATTGAACTAAAGACTTTACCATCAGTGACTCAATTCAAACGTCAGCTCAAGACGTTCCTAATCAACTAGCACTTTGCGTTCCTCCTGTGCTACTCTGACAAGTACTTTCGTCCCTCCCTGTCGCGCTCCGAGCATACATGTGTGTGGAATTAAGCGCTATATAAGCAACCTTATTATTATTATTATCATTATTATTGCAGACTATGGCAGCTTTAGAGTCTGCATTGACTCGGGAGTGGCAGTAGTAACCTTTTGGTCGTATCAGAAGTCTTAACGGTAACTGCTGTCAGTCAGGCACAAGCCGGCTGCACCCGTTATAGACTTTCATCCCAAGGATTACATTTGTAAGATCACGAAGAACATTAATCATGTAACCTACAAACCTCCCTGATCCATAGTTTTCTTGGTTACTAGTTGTACTCAATCACTGTACTTTAGGAACAGAGATATTGAAACAATAAACTCATTGAATATTATATTCATTATCATGTGAGCGAAGTAAAAAACAACAACAGGGGCTTATGTAATTTCTAGGTGTTCCCACAAGAACGTGTCACAGCTTTGTGTGAGTGAGTTAGTGTTTATTATAGTCTCAAGCCACTTGAAGCAATGCCACGTCAGAAGAGACACGACATAAAAGTCACAAACCGTACCCATGTATGAAATTGAACCCTGACTTTCGGTGCTCGGAGCGAATGTTTTAACCACAACGCTAACCCATCGCCACCAAAACTTTGAGACTGTTTATGTATGTCAGTAAGGTTAACATTTTCTAGATGTCTGAACGACCTCCTTTTTCACACTAAGAACTACAGTCCGTTTGATTTCATTTGAGACCGATGAATTGCTCACTAACACAAAATCGACTAATTGCAAGCCAGGTGTGCGAGTTGCACGTGTATAATTTCACTACTCATGCTTGTTGATTACCTGGCTGTTCTACCAGCAAGTGGTCCCCCATCGTAGAAAATAGCGAAAAGTGACAACAAAATAATGATCGTTTGTTAAACAACGTTTTTATTTGGGTGTCAAATATGAGACAAATCATCAGAGTTGGTATGTCGATTTCATGTGACTGTGCAAGGTTTGGTTTTGTTGCAATTATTTGATTTTGTGTTAGTGAGCAATTCATCGGTCTCAAATGAAATCAAACGGACTGTATATGCAGTGAATGTTTTACAGCTCTTATTGCAGTCAATTACCGATCCTATTATCTTACAATCTTTCAATGTGGACTGTGTCCATTTCTGTCACTCGATCAAATATGAGACCTGTGTCAATATTATCACGTAGGCGATATGTTTTGTCAGCTTTTTTACCGCAAACAAACATATCCTATCCTTAAAGTATCAGAGGACAAAGTAGTACCATGTCAGCCTCAAACTTCTTATGTGATGCTATGCAAAGCTGTTTAGCAGTAGCAGGCTCGGTTTGAACTTCACCAAGGTCCTCTGATAAACTGGCGAGACGTCTCAGTACATTTGGTGATGTTGGCAACGTTGATGCAGTAGAGATTGTCTTGGCTTTGTCTCATGAACGCAGCAATCCTCCCAAACCCACTTTCGCTTATGATAAGGACATCACATGTGGACAGGACGATCTGGTCAAGCAAAGTCTTCTCAAGGCCATCGCACACATGATCTCCACGTGTTCTGTCAACATGAACGATGTGACCCTTTAGTTCAAGGTTCACATCCGGGAATTTTAATCTCCCTATGTCTCTGACCTGTTCGGAATCAGTTGTCAAGAAAATATGATATCTATCGCTGTCGTTATATTTCTTGAGGAAGTTCCAAACAGCTTCCACATTTTCCAACGTATTAATTACTCTGTCTTCTGGAATCGTGGGACTATATCCAACCCGAATCTGTGAACAGACCAGAGTCTTCGACCTTGATATTTGAGACCTGAAAGTTCGTAAATGATTGCCTGTCTTCTGATTCAGTTTAAATAAACTGTTCCAAACCAGTCTGTATATCTCGCCAACTGACTTTCCTTTCGCCCAGTCAAGTTGATGTGAGTACAAGGGATTCCGCAATAGAAACTTTACACATTCAATGTTAATGTTGATATAAGTAACATTAGATTTAAAAATATCCTCCAACCTTTCCTTTCCCAGGCGATTGCAAAAATTAATGCCTTCGGAGTCAAGTTTGATGACATCAGTGGAAGGTTTTCCTTGAAGCTCGTTGCCATGGACACGCCAGTCTTCTTTGACCGGAAGTAGATACGTGCGTACATCGCACGGAATCGTAAGTATGACCTTGAACTTGCGCTGTGTCATCACCGATATGATATACGCAGCAACGATGCCTTTCTGTCTGTCTGCCCACCCACCACAAGCAAATGATCCATCACATTTGTACACAATGTACTGGCTCCATTTACCGTAGGAATGTGGAACGAAGAAGGCATGGCTGCTGTCCACGTGGTGAAGGTGATGGTGTCTGTGTTGTCGCAGCCCGATGGATGCTCCATATGGCAAGTGCAGGCTGGGAATGAAGGAGACGAACAGAGCCGCTGACACCAACACAGTCAGCAGCAGCAATTTCAGGAACGTCTGCAACAGGAAGCAGTTTGGAGTCAGTACATGGGGGTCACCAACATATTGAAGCAACTACTGTATCAATTTCTTTTGGTTTAAAGGATTTTTAAAAAGGTCACTTCACATTGTTTATTTTCGCTCTTAATGAATCCCTGGGTATATATAATATTCACAAAATACAGTTAAAAACGGTAATATTTCATTATACAGCTTGTATTAGGAATCTAAAACGCACCTCCCTCGAAAGCATTTCGCGATTACGCCAGATAATGAGGTAGCTGGTCACGTGGTCGCGTGACGTCATACCCGAGAGTCGCTACATCAACACACGGAAAATACAGTGGTACCGAGCCTGTTCGCTTACTGAGGTCTGCTTCTAGTTTAGCAAATAAATCGATACACGAAGTCAAACCTGGATTTGGATGACATACTAGATACAGATAATATCACAGACATGCAACATTTTCAATTTTAAAGTATTTCTAGCGGCAAGACCGACAGGTTATATTGACGACGATTACACCAGTTGACAACATGTACAGCCGTGGGACGATCCCAATCCCGACTGTTTTGAATAGACCTACTGCAGACTGGTATGCAAGTCACTTGCCTATATAATGTTCATGGAAAACTGATTAGATACTGAATTAATTTTTCCGCGGTCACGGTAAAATTTGCAGTCATGATAACGGCAATGTTCAATCAATGTCTTGAAAGGGACAGCCAGGTGTAAGAGAAGCACGTGCACAAGTACCGACAAAGTTATTGATTCATCAACCTGTGCTGTGCCGTCTCCACCCTTCCCGAACACCTGGCTGTTCCTTTCTCGGCACTCCTCCCTCGTAACAAATAGTGAATTGTCTCAATATTTTAATGATAGTTTATTAAACAACGTTTTTATTTTTAGGACATAAATTCTGCAAAAAAACTCACAGAGTTGGTCTGACGTTTTGATTGTGATCAGTGTTTCATTGAGTATTTTCTGTTTATTAGTTTTCGAGTTAGATTGCAATTCATCGGTCCGCTTTTGAGCCAAACGGACTATAATTATAAATGAAAGTGTCTGGCAGAATATCCAGGAAAAATAGGCTGTTGTGACCTGCAAGGCTGTAGGAAGGAAACATGTTTCTTCTCTCGAGAATGGCCCTGAGTAGGAATTCCACAAACTCTGTGAATAAATTTCACATTGAATTAGAGACATTTTGTAACACAATTTCAGTATATTTTGTTTTGGCAACCATAATAATAATTTTCTTTGAAATCTGCACTAAAAAGTAAGTACTTTTGTCTTAACAAATGCTGAGAGGGAAAATACATATGATGATTAAAAACCAGTGTCTTTGCAAACAAGACTTAGTGTTGACTCATTAGTATGGGAAAAACATGCAGTAATAGGAACAGTGTGTTTTTTTCAAACTGGAGTGCACCAGTTCAACGAGAGATTATTGATTGTCTGAATTATATTTGCCATGTGTTTGTTTCTTGTTCACTGGCTTGGCCTCTTGGTTTAGGCTTAGGGGTAGCTGATTGCCCAGTTGGGTTCCCCAGTCTTTGTCACTTCTAGGGTATTTAGGTTGTTTTCATTGATGTGAAATGTTGCCATGTACACCCTAAAAATAGCAATAAAGAAGCATTTTTACATTTGCCAAAAACAAAACCCACAAAGAAGTACATTATCTGAATGAACATATTTCCCTGATTTCCCATTTTTGAAAGTCGGTTAAAAGTTACCTATATATACAGCTGCCATGATGTTTTTACAAGGGGTCCATAGATACCTAAGTTTTGTGCCAGTGCTGAGCAGTCATTTTCATTTTATTTAATTTTACATTGCCTTAAAGAGAGAAAGAGTGAGATTCAACATTTTAATCATGCCCAAACACACGCGCGCGCACACACACACGCACACGCACACACACACAATTCACATACCATTTTAACATGGTAGGGGACCAGTCCCTGGTGGATAATTATCTGATATGACTTATTTTTGATTATGTTCTAATAACAATTATGTGCTCTCTCTCACCACCGCACTCATATGTTGCAAGTTCTCATTTGTCCATGCCCACCCCCATCCCAATCCCTCCACACACACTCACACCACAAAACACTCAACATTCCGTCTCGGGAAATAGATGACTTGGCCCTACTGGGTAACAGTAACAGTGGCTGTGAAAATATATAATAGGACAAAAGCGCAAATTATGACGTACTTTTCCATCAACTATTTCTTTATACAGCCAGCTAGTACTGGAGTGTTTATGTTGCTCAAAAACAACTACATCTTAAAACTCACCTGCAACCAACGTCGCGTCCGGAATGCAACTCTCTCGGTCTCAGTCCCAAGTTGACATTTCGGCCTCTGTGTTTGTTTGGGATGTCGAAAGGAATGTCCGATATATAACATCCTTATAAAGTTTAAGCTTTGACTATTCGTATCCATATTTCGCCTGAGGTTAGGTCACACAAGGACAACGGAGACAACGTCAAAGGTTAAAAACATGTCGCACAAACGCAGCAAAAGTCATGAAGCACGGGATGTTTGTGTTGTGCATGTATTGGGATTTGAACATTGGCTATAGAACTCAGGGGTTCTCGACTCAACGAAAGCAGTCGTTTGCTAAAACTGAAGCGTGAAACAATACCAAGATTACCCAACGCTCAACGTAACAACGCTATTGGCAGACTGAAACGTGATGATGGCATTTCCAGATTTAACGTGCCAGTTACAAACATATGTTGCCCCATGCAATTCCCCTTTTTGAGTTTTACCAAGTGTCCTCGTACTTATTTGTTGCGTGTCCCACCTGTGGGGCTAGGTGACCTCGACTTTGGTTGAGCACTCGTGCCATCTTTGTTTGTTTTGATTCATTCCTAAGAGATTGAAAGCGTGCAGTCTGGTAGATGTCTATTATGCTCATAAAAAGCTTTTATCGCCTTTGTTAACTGCTGAGAGATTATAACATACTTTCCACCGTGACGCGACCGTTTTCAACTAACTATGTAGCATGAACAATATTTGATGCACACTTGATCACGTCATCTGATTATCTTTGGATGTGCATCATATCATTTAGAGAAACCTTTTGTGATGAGAGTAGCGTTACGCACAGACTAGCGAGCTTATGATCATTTTAGAAAATAGGACTGCACCTCTAATCGAGAGTTTAATTACTAGTTTTAAATTTATATGTGATAGTCTAGTTGTTTTACTGTCCTTCGTTGCCATGTGTTTATAATTTACTTTTAATTATTATAAATCTATAACTTGATTTAGTCACGATATGGCTGAAATATGGCCGATGTGACCTAGAATCTTAAAGGTCACATGCAACGTAAAACACAAATTTGCAGATTCTGATACCTTTCGGTATGGACTTACCGAAACAAATCGTCAAAAATGCAAATTCAACTTATACAGTTGAAAAATAACGCGATGAAAAAAACCGCGCGAAATCGGAGTTCAAACATTTCACTAATTTTCCCCCGACTTTTCGGGGAAAAACTGGTTTCAACAGCTGGGCCCTGCTCATAGCACGTGCGCAGTGAAATAGGTTCGCGCAGCTTGGAAGCGGGTTGTCCGGTGAATACTCGGTGAAGGCTTTGGTGTGAGCTATTTTTCAAATGTTTTGTTGATATCTCACAGGCGCGAACTTTTTATATGTTATGACAGTAAATAAACTGTTTATATAATTTCATTTGTCTATTTCACCACACGTTCTTCTTACAGAGTCACTTTCTCAGTTCGATACTTAAAAGCAATGTCATTATTTAGCGTTGACAGAATTTCTACCTGTGATATAGATATGTCGTTGTCACAGACAAAACTCAATGTCTTGTTTTATTGACACCTGTGTTTCTGCCTGCCTGTCTGCTAATGACAATATTCAATACACATTGGCTATCACTGACCACATGCAATTTGAACTTAACACCAATCAGGCTATACACCATAAACAAAATGCATTGATTTAAGGCCCGAGTTCGGTCTCTGTCACATTATGTAATTACACAGACATGCAGGCGTGATACTTGAACACATGACATGTTATGATGTCTGTTGATTGTAAAATGTTATACATAAAAAATGAGCATGTATTTACAAAACCCAACATCTCTATGTATACACACACAATGAGCCGTGAGGGCATCGGCAAATGAACCAGCCGTTACACTTGAGTGCACACCCACCCGCTCTGACTGGGTTCGGTATCCCGGCTGCTTCGTTTCTTGGGAAGTAAACCCAAATACACAATATTGCACCTTTGATTTGCGATTGTACGCTTATAATTTTGTTTAGATATTTTTTCATAACCAGCAATGTATATTATATGTCATGAATAAGTTATAATTGTGTTTTAATTATGTTTGATTTTTTGGTTGCATGTGACCTTTAACTCACTCATTAATTTATACAGGCATTAATTCAGAATTAATCCAGGCATAGATAACCCAGTAGGTGAATAGCACGATTACATGGAAGCTAACACAGATTACAATTTATCATATAATGGATAGCAGGATATTGTCGGTGTCCGTTGGGATCATATACGTATATGTGTATTTCTTGTTCACAAGGTTAACTGGAGGTTTGTGAATTTCCACACGAGTTTGGTGATATTTTACAAACGTAAGCTAACATTTGTTGACAACAATACGTGCTTTAACATAAAACCTTATTGGGAACTAGATGACCTAACGGTGTCATTTGAGTGATCAGTAGAAAATTGTGTTACCTAGCTTGTGATGTAACATATTACTACGCACATATTTGTGACATCATAGATATCTGTGCACATTCCAGGAAGTTTAGTTTCATGATTTGTGGCAACTAAATAACATTATTTTAAATTATAAAGTAAGAATGACATAATAATGATAAATAGGTTATCACGCGTGTGTGTTTTGTGATGGTTAATATCCTGCCTAAGTATTTAGCGAGCCAAGGCTAAAAGAATTAGGAAAGGAATTAGGAATAATTATTTACTAAGTATTACTAAATACAGTGCTTATTCATAATGCAGGATAGTAACCATCTCAAAACACACTCGCGTGATAACATATGTATACCTGGACTGTTTCATGTTTTTTCATTCACCCGATAAAGGAGTTAGAATATACTCCGAAACGTCATGTTCTCAAAACGTAACATCCATAAATTCTCGCCTTTAAACGTATCCACATTAATGGCTAAACGTAATTTCGCCACCGCGGATAACCTGTAATAAGAAATTTGTTGCTAGTTCCCACATTGAAATAACCATCTTATGAAAGAAGTATGTAATGACCGACAACCCACCTAAACTTCCAAACAAGTGTAGGTCTTCCTTCGCTGAAGTGTGTCTGTTCACTGACATAAGTTCTTTGTCACCCTGTCAAAAGCCACCTACATATTTCCCTGTGTAATTATTCAAAACGTGTATACCTTGGCGTCGTCAAGTGACTCAACAAAGGCTCCAGTTCTCGCGGGCGATGGGGTAGCCTAGTGGTTAAAGCGTTGGCTCGTCACGCCGAAGACCCGGGTTCGATTCCCCACATAAGTACAATGCGTTAAGCCCATTTCTGGTGCCCCCCCGCCGTGATATTGCTGGAATATTGCTAAAAGCGGCGTTAACCCATACTCACTCACTCACTCCAGTTCTCGCAATGTTATAGGAAAATTCGTGTGGAGAAGACTGATATACTGTTTGAATTTACACTAAACTTGACGTTCAATCTGCTAACAGCTTGAATCTGGCTGGAGATGTGTTTATGTTGAATTTGTAATATTTATAGGGCGATTACTAACAAGACAATACGACATTTAAATGAATAGTATGATGCTAAAATGCAGATAATCAAATATATAAGATTCCATGATTTGGCAATAATGTATTCTCCATTAAAATCGGAAAGACCTACGGAAAGTGGAATATTACCATCCACAGACAATTGTCAAGATTATTTTCGAGATCATCAAGGTCACCTATAATGTAAAAGTTGATGTCTGTTTCATTGTGGTTACAAGGCATTATCTGCACCCCCTGTAAGAACAAAGGTGACAACACAGATCCTGAGACCTACAGCGGCATCAGCCGGCAAACTTACATTCAATCTTTACTAAGGCGGAAAATCTAATATAAGGCGGAGTTAATGATTCACTATTTCCCATGAAAAATTGGGATCATACAGGAAGTAAATCTCTCGCCATAACTATTTCGCGTATTTGTGATAGACCAAGAAATTTACCTAAACTTTTGCGAAGGACTGAATATGAATTCTGTATGGTACCTGATGATTGATATATACATTCAGAGTGTTGTCCAACATTATATGCTAATGATACAATACTTTTAAGACAAGAAGTAAGAAAGATCTACATGCCGCTACTGATGATTTTGCATCTGTTTGTATAAGTGAGTGAGTGAACTGGGTTTTACGCTGTCTTTGGGAATATTCCAGCAATATCACGGCGGGGGGACTACAGAAATCGGCTTCACACTCTGTCTGTTGATATGAAACTTAAAAGTTGATTTATCATACACAAAACTATTGGTATTTTGCTGAATAATATACCCTGCAAAATTAAATACAGTTTTTTCCAGGAGTCACTTGATCGTTATCAAGCTAGGGTCCATGCAGGAAGCAAATGTACTGTAAGGTTGTAAATGAATGAGTGTATGTTTATAAGCATCATGACACAAATTTCAACTCATTTTGACTTGATTCGACTAACTTAGAGCGATATTAAAATATCTGCATTATTTACGGTAACATGGGTTAGTTAATAGCGCATTGCCGGGAGACCCACATTCACACGATCACTCAACCATACCCATTGCCGGTTGAGCCAAACCATTTTAAACTCTTGTTTTCTTAAAAGTGGCTTTCCCGGGCTGTAACTATCAGCACACCCCAATCCGACCATCTGTCATTAATTACCTGTCATGAGCTATCAGTTGTATTGAAAGCTCTCGCATATTGTTTCATTACTTAATTGTTTCACGGATAGGTATATAGTCACTCCAAATAGACCTTCTGCCAAAATGATCGATCTAGAGTTACCTCCCTTTTGACCGGACATCCAAGGTAAACAAACATGGATGACAGCCGATCGTTTGCTTGTATGACAGTTGCACAAATACAGAAATATCTAAGCAAAAGGGGAATTTCAGTCACTGGTTACAATAGAGAAGGGTTATTACAGTTAGCTAATGCTGCAAAATGCTTAAAGGTCACATGCAACGTAAAACACAACTTTGCAGATTCTGATACCTTTCGGTATGGACATACCTAAACAAATCGTCAAAAATGCAAATTCAACTTATAAAGTTGAAAAATAACGCGATGAAAAAACCCGCGCGAAATCGGAGTTCAAACGTTTCACTAATTTTCCCCAGACTTTTCTGGAGAAAACGGGTTTCAAAAGCTTGGCTGCGCTCATAGCACGTGCGCAAGTAAATAGGTTCGCGCAGCTTGGAAGCGGGTTGTCGGGTGAATACTCGGTGAAGGCTTTGGTGTGAGCTATTTTTCTAATGTTTTGTTGATATTTCACAGGCGCGAGCTTTTTATATGTTATGACAGTAAATTAACTGTTTATATAATTTCATTTGTCTATTTCACCACACGTTCTTCTTACCGAGACACTTTCTCAGTTCGATACTTAAAAGCAATGTCATTATTTAGCGTTGACACAATTTCTACCTGTGATATAGATATGTCGCTGTCACAGACAAAACTCAATGTCTTGTTTTATTGACACCTGTGTGTCTGCCTGCCTGTCTGCTAATGACAATATTCAATACACAGCTGCTATCACTGACCACATGCAATTTGAACTTAACACCAATCAGGCTATACACCATAAACAAAATGCATTGATTTATGGCCCGAGTTCGGTCTCTGTCACATTATGTAATTACACAGACATGCAGGTGTGATACTTGAACACATGACATGTTATGATGTCTGTTGGTTGCAAAATGTTATACACAAAAAATGAGCATGTATTTACAAAACCCAACATCTCTATACATACACACACACAATTAGCCATGAAGGCATCTGCAAATGAACCAGCCGTTACACTTGAGTGCACACCCACCCGCTCTGACTGGGTTCGGTATCCCGGCTGCTTCGTTTCTTGGGAAGTAAACCCAACTACACAATTTTGCACTTTCGATTTGCGATTGTACGCTTATAATTTTGTTTATATTTTTTCGTAACCAGCATTGTATATTATATGTCATGAATAAGTGATAATTGTGTTTTAATTATGTTTGATTTTTTGGTTGCATGTGACCTTTAAAGGGGTGTGCTGATAGTTACAGCCCGGGAAAGCCACTTTTAAGAAAACAAGAGTTTAAAATGGTTTGGCTCAACCGGCAATGGGTATGGTTGAGTGATCGTGTGAATGTGGGTCTCCCGGCAATGCGCTATTAACTAATCCATGTTACCTTTAAAGGTCACATGCAACCAAAAAACTCAAACATAATTAAAACACAATTATCATTTATTCATGACATATAATATACATTGCTGGTTATGAAAAAACATATAAACAAAATTTTAAGCGTACAATCGCAAATCGAAAGTGCAATATTGTGTAGTTGGGTTTACTTCCCAAGAAACGAAACAGCCGGGATACCGAACCCAGTCAAAGCGGGTGGGTGTGCACTCAAGTGTAACGGCTGGTTCATTTGCAGGTTCCCACACGGCTCATTGTGTGTGTATATATAGAGATGTTGGGTTTTGTAAATACATGCTCATTTTTTGTGTATAACATTTTGCAATCAACAGACATCATAACATGTCATGTGTTCAAGTATCACACCTGCATGTCTGTGTAGTTACATAATGTGACAGAGACCGAACTCGGGCCTTAAATCAATGCATTTTGTTTATGGTGTATAGCCTGATTGGTGTTAAGTTCAAATTGCATGTGGTCAGTGATAGCAGCTGTGTATTGAATATTGTCATTAGCAGACAGGCAGGCAGACACACAGGTGTCAATAAAACAAGACATTGAGTTTTGTCTGTGACAGCGACATATCTATATCACAGGTAGAAATTGTGTCAACGCTAAATAATGACATTGCTTTTAAGTATCGAACTGAGAAAGTGACTCGGTAAGAAGAACGTGTGGTGAAATAGACAAATGAAATTATATAAACAGTTAATTTACTGTCATAACATATAAAAAGCTCGCGCCTGTGAGATATCAACAAAACATTAGAAAAATAGCTCACACCAAAGCCTTCACCGAGTATTCACCGGACAACCCGCTTCCAAGCTGCGCGAACCTATTTCATTGCGCACGTGCTATGAGCGCAGCCAAGCTGTTGAAACCAGTTTTCCCCCGGAAAGTCGGGGGGAAATTAGTGAATCGTTTGAACTCCGATTTCGCGCGGTTTTTTTCATCGTGTTATTTTTCAACTTTATAAGTTGAATTTGCATTTTTGACGATTTGTTTAGGTATGTCCATACCGAAAGGTCTCAGAATCTGCAAAGTTGTGTTTTACGTTGCATGTGACCTTTAAGTTTAACTGAAGATCCCGACTTGATGCACGCGCACGACGATGTAACCGACAAGCTTCGTAAACATGGTGTTCCATCCACAGTGACAGACCCATTCACAGCAGAGGGTTACAATCAAGATTTTTCCCACATGCCATCTTTTGGACTGATTGATATTTTCAATTATCTTCTCTGTTCGAGATGTGACTACGATGGAAAAAAATTGAAGAGCTATAAGTCATTTGAGGATTACAGGTACGAATTATAGATCACTATCAATATATTTCTCCTGTCATGACTAATTTTGCCTTTTGTAAACGACATTATATTTACTTAAAATATGTAAATAATTGTTAATGTATCATCCATTATAATAATGATTGTTTTTCATAGAAATTTTTGGGTAATGTGATTGTGTGATTAATCAATTTACATTTTACTTTCAGGCTGTTCTATGATGGCCATGTAGAACTGCTGGAAATAAACAACCTTACAGATGATAGCCAGGTCTGCCTCTTCAGGGCTAAGGTCAAACCTACCCAGAGGGATAGGACCTACCTTAATCAAAGCTGTTACCAGCTTTTTGTTGTCATGGACAAGGTTGAGGGAGAAGTGAAAATGGCCTACAGTCAATGTATTGTGGGGTAAGTATTTGAATATTACATTCAGTAATGATGAGAATGGATTTAGGCCTATATCTTGATATAGGCCAAAACAATATTGTCTGGAAGCTTTTGAGACAAACTATAAAAAATGGTTGAAATAAAATAATTATTATCAGGTATGATGGATAAAATTTGAATAAAAATGACTTGTATGTTTAAATATATTATATTTTTTAGCAAACAAATCATGATGTATTTTATAGATCAGATGGAGCATGCCGTCACATTGGAGCAGCATTATATGCTATAGAGAATGTTGAGCCAACATCTTGAACCGATGGAGCCAATCAGTGGATGAAGCGACCTCGTTTACATGATGCAGCCGTCCCTGTCAAGAATCTGACTGTCCTCAAGGCAAGATATGGCACAACTCCTGTCGTCAACAATGTGTCACCAGATGTCGACTCATATGATCCCCGGGCCCCTGAAGACCGTATGCCATATACACAAGAACAGAAGCGAGACTTTGGTCTACAACTGAGCAAGGTGTGTTCATAATTCAGAGTTAATGTATTCTTCATTTAATCTTATTAAGAAATAATACATAACATGATATGTCACAAAATATTAGACAAATTGATTGATCAAAGTTACATTTAGGTGTCACTTACATTACAACAGTGTGGGAAATAGACACCCTGTTACTTGGTAAAAGTTTGGGTTGGCTACGTTTCTAGCTCATTTTATACACTGACTAGTAATGTAGTCTAATGTACACAGTGACTTATGGTTTGATTGATTTCCCCTGTTTCAGTTATCCCCAGATGTTCAGGCTCTAGATATACTTCTCTGTCCAGAAGATCTCATATCTATGAAGACCAGTGATCAGAAGTCCATCACAGATTTATCCATTCCATCAAAAGCACAGTGTTATGCATCAGATAACAAGGATAAATTAGTTAACTGTGAGTCATTGGATGAACTTGAAACTATCTGTGATGACTTTTACAGTAAACTCACTTACTCTGAACAGGAATGCAAGGATATTGCTATATGCACTGTTGGGCAGTCTATTAACGATACATGGTTTGAACAAAGAGCTGGAAGGTTAACTGCTTCCAACTTCAAACAAGCATGTTCATATGCTGAATATAATTCACAACCGTCTATGTCATTCCTGAAATCTATCATGTGTGAGGACAGAAGTGAAGCTAAAGATAATTGTGAACCACTTATGTGGGGAAGAAAGAAGGAGCCAGTTGCTCGACACATGTATACTCGACTTGTACGCTCCTGCCACAAGTCTCTAAAGGTTCATGAACATGGACTGTTCATAAACTCATCATATCCTGCTTTAGGATGCAGTGTTGATGGTGTTATTACATGTAAATGCCATGCTGACAGAGTACTGGAAATAAAGTGTCCATACTCACCGAGGAGTAAACATCCTAAAGAGGTTGCCAAGATGAAACATTGTCACCAGGTTGATAACAGTGAGGAGTGGGTGATGACCAAAGACTGTCCATATTATCATCAGATTCAGGGCCAGCTTGGTCTGTATGGTTTGAAGTGTGGTGAATTGGTGATTTTGACTAACCAAGGCTGTGGTCAAAACTGAATTTGATGAAACATTTTTTAGCCAGATGATTAACAATCTGAACCTGTTCTATAAGAAACAAGTCTTACAGTATCTGTTTACACAGCTTACATTACTTTGACATAAGATGATGCGTGATATTTGACAAATGTGATCAATGAAACACTGTACTTGTGTACTATGAAGCTACCTGTACTGTACTGTACTGTACTGTACTACTGAGGTAAAGTCTGTAAACATGTAACACTACATATACATGCTTAGTTTGACCATGTTACATATTTGGGAACAGCAGGATATTTGACAATGTGATCAAGGAAACACTGTGCTTGTGTTCTATGAAGCTACCTGTACTGTACTGTACTACTGAGGTAAAGTATGTAAACATAATTCTGGGAATAAAAAACATGAAGAAAAAAACAGAGAAAAAAATGATGCAGTTTTACATAAACATAATCTGCTAAAATGTTACTGGTGGGGGATCTGTGTCTTTTAGTGCTTGTTAATATTACTTCACAAGTTTCTTGTCGAGGTTGCACAGTGCTGCACATACAAATTGCATTTGATCCAAAATGCTCTTAAATCTGAGTGGGATAACTCTTTGAACGATTTGAAACTTCTTAAGCCTTCCTATGGCACGTTCAACGTGAATGCGTGAACTGGCAATTCTCCTTTTCTTTGCTTCTGCTTTTGATTTCAACTGCTTACCCATAGAAAATGGTGGTATATTGAGAGTGCACATTCTTTTAGTAAGTAAATCACGTATTAAAAACCCTCGGTCGGCCATGATGTCATCTCCGTACTCAAGTTTGTCTAGGAAACCAGACTGCTGAACAATCTTCCTGTCTGATATTGAACCTGTATACAGATTTGAGAGAAAAAACAAATGTACCAGAGGGGGATATAGCAACCAATGATTTTACAGTGTTGTGGTGCTTGTATTGGGACCATGTGACTCTCTGAGATGAAGCTAGACTTGGTTTTTGAATGAAACATTCTGTGCAGTCAATAATTACTCTGGTCTTAGGAAAACATTTGAAGCACTTAGGTAAGCATGAATTTACTTGATACCGAGTTGGCCAAGATACTAGGAATTGAAGTTCGTGGTACATAAAAGAAATCCAAGTGGTGAAAATTCTACTGACAGAAGAGTTGTCAATTTGAAATAGATAGGCTAAAACTTCAGAGTCAAATCCTCGTCTGAGCCTGGCTAATGTGAGAAGCAACTCTTCTGTAAGGGTCAAGACCCGAGGACGACCTCTCCTCCCCGGTGTACTTTCATAGCACTTCTTTGAAAAGTGTAACGAACACAGATGACCGAGCGTGGAGGGGTTCACAAAAATCCGCACGACGACAGTAAGCAATCTATGCCCTTCCTCTTGTCAAATAGAATTTCTCAGGAAATGTACATCCGTGTTGTTTACGCAGGTGGATAATCATCAAAACTCGAAGTGCAGTTGTCAGTTTCCAATACATAATCACAACAACGCTTCATTCAAAATATTGAGCTTCGCGTCACTTTCAACTCGATGGCGTATACACTACTGAAAGGGGGAATTCCATAGTAATTCCTGTTTTTATGAAATACTTACGAGTAATATCATGAGTTCTTTTCAATTTGCCCATACTAGCCAAAATTACAAAATACACGAAATTTGTTACCCCGTTACAGCCATATGGTTCTAGCACTGCCCTCGGGGCAACACACCACTCGTCACGCTCCAGATGACGTCACGATCTCTATAAATACGAGCGCTAACCATGCAACTTCCTCAATGTCTAAACCATAACCTGTAACCCTACCACTCCTAGCTCAACACTCGGAAAATAAGTTTCCCAATGTGGGGAAAGGGTGGGAATTATGATATTACTCGTAAGTATTTCATAAAAACAGGAATTACTATGGAATTCCCCCTTTTTATTACAATACTTTCTCCTAATATCATGAGACTTTGTCATAGCGGACGGCGGGAACCGAGCCTCCTCCTGACAAGTCGCCGATAAAGGAGAGGCATTGTAAAGTGAAGGAAAATCCCTGCGGTCATGCCGACCTAGGTCAGGTCGACCCGGCCTTGACATTGCCACCCACGCGGGGGGCGGGTCAGTCCCGACCTGGTAGGAGTTGCCTCCCCTAGAACATAGGGAACTTCAGTGCACAATAAATAGAGAAAGAAAATTTACTCACCTTTGCCCTTGTAAATCTTCAAGATGGTCGGTCTGGCCGTTACCATGACTTCCACCCCGTGAAGGGTATACAGAAGTCTTCTTCTCCAATCCCCGTTAAGGGAAAATGACATTTATGGCACTAAGGAGCACAATGTTATTGGTACCCATAAAAGCAGCCCATATAACATTACTATAAACACACTAACTCTGCAACTACAGCGCAATATACTCACTATTGCAGGAGGATAAATATTCCAAACTCACCGAAATATGGACATCGTCATTAACAGGTCGATAGATTCTGTGCTACTGCGAGGGGAAGACGTTTACACTGGTTTCGCTGTGTAGCAACGTTTCTGATATAAAATCTCGCAAAAGTGGAAGGTTGTCTCCAGTAAGCCGCCCTCATAATAGCATCTAAAGAGACTGAGGAGGCAAATGCTAGTGAGGCCGAGATAGCCCCTTAATTCGTGTGATTTCACACTACTAGAGGTCAGCAGGTCGGATTTACCTGCCTGATCATAGGCTACCCTGACAATGCTCGTAATCCACTTAGAGAAGGAGGCTGCTGCAATTTCTCTACCTTCCGTTGTGTAGGGAATAAACAACCTTCTCTGTGTAGTCCGTAGGGGTTTAACCCTGTGGATATACCACTTAAGGGCGCGTACAGGACAAAGTAAGCGATTCGAATCCTCTTTCTCCAAGGTATTGGAGAGAGAAGGGATTGTAATCGGAGCTAAACACTCATGTGGTTTCTGAGTCTTAGCCCTGAACTCTGGAAGAGTTTGTAAGCTTACTAAGTCATCCTGCCAACGTAAATTTTTGAAATCAACAGCGTATAACTCACTATGGCGACACGCTGTAGCCAAAGCCGTGAGGAAGGCTGTTTTGTAAGAAACAAGCCATAACTCTGCCGTCTCCATTGGCTCGAACGGGGCTTTCTTCAAAGCTTCGAGGACTAAGACTACATTCCATTCGGGAGTCAACTGTCTCGACACCGCGGACGCAGCCATTGACGTCATTAGATCTCTCAGGACTGGATCCCCCGAGAAGTCAGGACCCCAGCTTTGGCGTATTTTGGTACAAATAGCAGAGCGGTAGGACTTAATAGTGCGAGCTTTAAGGTGTGAATTCACCTGTAGGTGATTTAGAAACTCGGCTAAGTCTTTCACCATTGGACGTAAGGTATCCACCTGTTGTGACCTCGTCCAATCCACCAAGCACTGCCAGTGTGGCTGATATAGTCTCTCAGTTGACGAGCGCCTGGACTGAGTGACGCGTTCGGCAAATGCTTTAGAAAAACCTCGCGTCTGGAGGGAGTCTTTGACAGTTTCCAGGCGTGTAGGTCTAACACTGCCGGGTTCTCGTTGCATATCCTCGACTGAGATTGACCCGGCGTGGAAGCGCTATCGGTTTGGCCACTAGGAGCTCGAGCAGCGTGGGAAACCACGGTTGAGCCAGCCATCTCGGAGCTATGAGAGTGAGATCTGAACTTTCCTTTCGTGCTTTCCTTATCACCCGATCCATTATGGCGGGGGTGGAGGAAAGGCATAGGCGACCAGACCCGTCCAATCTAACGTGAGAACACCGTGTGCCCATGCTAGGGGGTTCGGAACCGGGGACACAAACAGGGGGAGTCTGTGATTCAACCGTGTGGCAAACAGATCCACATGGGGAGTCTCCCAAGCAGAGAATATCCCTTTCACCACCGAATGGTGTAGTGTCCATTCTGTCTGAACCACCATGCCCCTTCTGCTCAGGGCGTCGGCCAGTACATTTATCTTTCCCTGAATGTGTTGAGCTATTAAGTGACCCTTCAGCTCTCTCATTTTGTTGAGAACTATGAGTGTTCTCTGACAGAGACCAGGACAGTGTGTCCCCCCCCATCCTTGTTTATGTATGCGGCAACCGTTGTGTTGTCGGTACGAAGGAGAGTCACTTTGTTCGCCAAGTGGGGTTTGAACACCTCCACTGCCCGATTGACCGCTTCCATCTCCAGGACATTGATGTGGAGATTGTGAAGGTGCAGTTCCAACTGACCGTCGGCCTGTAGGGTGCCCAGATGAGCCCCCCAGCCCGTCTCGCAGGCCACAGTGAACAGCGACTGCGACGGTGTCGGTGGGTGTAATGGCATGGTCTGAGACAGGAAGTCTCGCGCTAACCATTGACTTATGGACGAGTTGAATCACGTCCCGAGGGGAACGGGTGTGTCCGAGCTCAGATGGTCCCACTTGGAGGCTAGCATCAGCAGTAGCTCTCTTTTTGCCAGTTTCGACAAGGGTAGAATTTTTTAAAATGATTCCATCTGACCTAGGAGAGAGTGAAATCTCTCTCGGCGTGGTGAAAGTCTTCTTGCACAACTTGTGTGCTAGCGTGACAAAGGCGTTCAGACGGTGATCGGCGGGAGACACAGTGGCTTCCGCTAGGTCAAATTTCACCCCGAGAAAAGTAAATTCCTGAGAAGGGACTAGTTCCGATATCTCGAAATTTATTACAAACCCTAGTTTCACAAATAGTTCCTGAATCTGCTGACTCTGTGAAGCACAGAGGAGATTCGACCTGGCAGGACTCAGGGAATCGTCCAGGTAAGCATGAAACCGGAGACCCAAGCAGTGGAGCCTTGCTACCCCTGCTTTCATGACTCGGGTAAATACGTAGGGAGCTGAGGCTAGACCGAACGGAAGAGCATGGAACTCATACATGCGATCCTCGAACACAAACCTGAGGTATTTTCTCGACGTTTTGTGAATAGGAATGTGAAGATAGGCATCTTTTAAGTCTATTGAAATAGCCAAGTCGCCTTGATTTAGAGAGGTTCTTATGGAAGTGAGAGTTTCCAGTTTGAACGTCTCTACTAGCTTGTACTTGTTCAGGTGAGACAGGCCTAACACTGGCCTCCAGTCTCCGTTTCAGGAACAGTCGGGAGTAAAGTCCCGGCTCGGGATTCGGGAGGGGAACGATCGCCCCTTTTTCCGAGAAACTCCCTTATCATTTGACGCAACGACGACAATTGATTTTTGTCCTTGGGGAGGGCAGACAGAGGAGGGTGGCATGTTAGCAGCGGGTACGGTACACTGTGAAACTGAATGCAGTATCCGACCCTTAGTACGGAATGTACCCAAGAGTCGAGCGTCTCCTCTTCCCATGCTGGTAGGAAGTGTGACAACGTGCCAGCTATAGAGAATTCTGCCCCTGATACGGAGGCCTGACTGGGTACCGGGTCCCGAGTGGACACCGGTATCGGAGGTTCCCTGTTGAGCTCCGACGACCTGTCTCTTTGGGTGAAGGAGTCAGGAACGACCTGTGGCCTTCCCTGCCGAACTTGACTCGCCTCCCTTTGTAGCTCTGTTGGAGGATTGCTTCATCCCCCTTTTCCGATTCGGTCGGTGTCGTTTGGCACCAGTCGGACCGGAGCAGGTGGCAGATTGGGGAGGAGGTACAGTTAACTTCCCCACGGAAAGAGACGGAGGCTGACGGGTGTACAGCGCATCGTCCTTCCGCCTATCCGCCAGCTGCTGCATTCGGGCAGGGAGACCCGCGCCGAATAGTTGCCAGCTCTCAGTGGGGGCACACCTAAACTGCGCCCTTGTCTGCTCATAGTAAGAGCAAGCAGCCAAGGACGTGTCTCGCTATGAGGCGCCCTTGCAAGCGTGACAGATGTGACAACGCAGTCAGAGCCGATGTCATCCACGCTTGCAAGGGAGGTGTGTCAGCCCCGAGTCCTTAAGCAGGGCCAGGAAGGTCCCACCGAGAAGCCAGAAGAGATGTGAAATCACCCCGAAAAGTGGCGGCACATCTCCTCCCAGCTCCTCGGGTTTTCCGAAGCTATAAGCAATTTTGCTGGGTTCGCCGCGGGAAAACGTGAGAGGAACTCAGGGGGCTTGGGGGGGGAGCTGCCAGGGAGAACGGCTCCGACCCATCCGGCGCAAAGCAAGAGTATGTGCCCGGCCCGTAAATACGAGGGGATTTACGGGTGGGCACTTTACCCTTCTTCATGGATCTACCGTCCTCCGGCAGGTCTGAATTTCCCGATCCTCGGATCAGGTCATTCAGCTCCGTCCATACCTCATCCAAGTCCCTAGAGAAGGGTAGGGAGAGGGAGGACGTAGGCGCACGTGTTCCCCTACTCACCTGAGACGCCTCCTGCCGTGGGAGGTCCAAGTTCCCGAAGGATTTGCCGTCCGGTCGCACTGACCGGAAGAAATCCTTCAGGGAGAGGATGGATTTGGTGAAAGAATAATCCTCCACTGCGCTTCCCTCCCCCACCTCCGAGGGGTGGATGGACCCCTAGGACAGCCAGGTTAGGCCCAGTGGGTCCTTCCCGACTGCCCTGGACGGTAGAGGAGGGTCCCACCCTAGGGTGAGACTCCTCCTCGTACAGGATGCTCGAGTCCACGGACGAGGAGTCATCCGGGTCTGAGTCCACGTCCATGGGACGCTGCCCGTCCCCTTGGGACAAACCTAGCGGGACTGTCGGGGCCTGCACGGTCGTCGCACCCGTGTCTCGCCTAACAACCCGAGCAAAGGTCTGGGGTGGGTCCCTTGGAGCTGAAAGGGCCTGGGGGCAGCTTCCAGCGGTCGCTACCCCACTAGGCACATTCTGCTGCCCCCCTTGAATAGGGGGACCCCGTAGAGAAGACAGAACCTGCTCCAGAAGCAAACTTTGCCTCTGGATGGCCTGCCACATCTCTGCGGGAGCAGGAGTGTCCTGGCCGGGACCCTGGACAGCCATACCCTGGCCTGCACCCACCGCAGGGTTGGCCGGGACCTGACCCGTAGCCAGGTCGGCCCACGAGGCTGAAGGCTCGGTGTCCCGTTGGGATAAACCGACCCCAATCCCGTCGGTCCCCCAGTGACGTTCGGGAACTATCTGGGCCGTCGACTCCAGACCCAGGGGGTCTGATGAAGCCGGCACCTGGGAACTCGGGCCGACCTCAACCCCAAGGGTGATGTCAGACACAGGTAAGTCTGGGACGTCAGTGACGTCCGGGACGAATCCGGAGGTCCCGGGCAGCGGGGAGGTGGCCCTGAGGGCCCCTACACCCGCCACCATGTCGGAGAAAGACCGGTGGTCCGTCGCCGACGAAGAAGAGCTCCCGTTGGAGAGACGGCGTTCGGAAAGTCGCTTGGAACGAAGCTCCCGTTTCCGCGACGCCTTTCGAACGCGCCTCTCCAACTGGGTCCACTGCTCCGGTGTCCAATCCTTGCACACAGCACAAGGCGACGACCGAGAGCAGTGGCGGCATGCCAAACATAAGGGGTGCGGATCATCTGCCTTCAGATTAATCCCGCACCATCGAGCTTCCACACCAAAACATTTCAAAGAAGTACGTGACATTATGATTCTTTGACCAATAGAGCAAACTGGGCTGCTAGGGTACTATACCAGGGGTGTGCTCCGTAGCAGCCAAAATTGAAAAGAGGAAGTTGCATGGTTAGCGCTCGTACTTATAGAGATCGTGACGTCATCTAGAGCGTGACGTCACCCGCCACGGACGAGTGGTGTGTTGCCCCCAGCGCAGCGCTAGAACCATATGGCTGGGAAAATCTTTACGTTTGTTTCCCGGTTTCGGGGTAACAAATTTCGTGTATTTTGTAAGTTTGGCTAGTATGGGCAAATTGAAAAGAACTCATGATATTAGGAGTAAGTATTGTAATAAAAAAAAGTCCCATCTAAGAAGACCTGTGTGTAGTTGAGGTTCATTGCTACTGACCGTTTGCCTTACATTTGCGGTTGTTCCTAAACCTTTCCTGCAGATTTTGGGTCTGTGCGTATGGAGTATTGCCGCCTAAACCAAGTATTTGCCTCGTAAATTGGTTGTTTAATTACATGTATAACCGGACATGTTGGCTTAGTACGAAACTGATGTAGTTTTATGTTGACCTAAATTATCGGTGGTAGTAACTTCCGGGGCACGAAATGATTGCACTGGAACTAATGGTTAAGAAGACATCACCTGATGTCGTGACCTGATTTTAACCCAATTTGTACAGCAACAGTGTACTTGGGTGGTGATGTATAAATTGGCGGATATTAGAAACATCAAAATGCTTTGAAAACTAAGTTCCAATACACCCGTATAACTCTCCACTGAATTAGAAATATACAAACATGTCTGTCTACTTTCTTTTGAACTAGGGCGGTGGGGTAGCCTAGTGGTTCAAGCGTTGGCTTGTCACGCCGAAGACCCGGGTTCGAATCCCCACATGGGTACAATGTGTGAAGCCCTTTCTGGTGTCCCCCGCCGTGGTGTTGCTGGAATATTGCTAAAAGCGGCGTAAAACCAAACTCAATCAGTCAGTCAGTCTTTTGAAGTACGATCAAGGTGTACATATTTCCTGTCTTGTTGCTTTCCAGCGACTTGTTACACCAAACGATTGTCCCTTCAGCAGCATTGACATATGGCTGGAATATTGTTGAGTGCAAAACTAAACTCACTCACTCTTCAGCAACATCCCCGTACATGTGTATAATATGTTGGCAGCATTTTAGTCGTACCAGTCGTCAGCCTTATGAAGAGTAAGTGAGTGAGTATGGTTTTATGCCGCTTTTAGCTCTATTCCAGCAACATCACGGCGGGGGACACCAGAAATGGTCTTCACACATTGTACCCATGTGGGGAATCGAACCCGAGTCTTCAGCGTGGCGAGCGAACGCTTTAACCACTAGGCTACCCCACCTTATGAAGAAGCCTGTTGTGAAACCCACGAGGAAGCATTACGCGAGAAAGCATGACTCGAGAATCCTGCACTGTGACAGCTGCGTCGTTCGCGTTCCCTCTGAGTATTATTTTTACAGCCGTACCCTTGAAGGTTGAAGTACTGTACAAAATATTTTCCCTCTGATGGGGTACAGTAAGTCCATATCATTCAAGATGTGGTGTAAATCCAGCTATCGTCCCTGCATGTAGCAAAAGTACTGTAAGTCCCCATGGTCCCTAGTATGGTGATCTAACTCCAGTTGTTGGCGATCTAAAGCCCATTCTATATTGTGTTGATCTGTAAAAATATTGTTTTATGATTGCATGCTAGTCTTAAGTTTACATCTGTAATAAGCTAGATATTTTTCTGTCCTTCGTTGACAGATATTTATTTTGTCTAAGTTTACTTTTAATATACAAGACTCATAGTCACGATATGGCTGAAATTCTGCCGATGTGACTTCAAATTTAACTCACTCGTTTTTTTACAGCCTGGAAAGCTTGGATATATGTGAATAAAAGACGTCTGATGTGACGGTGCTGTATACACACCGGCAATCTTCCACGAAACGGCCTGGAAAGTTGAGCAGCAATCAGTACCATGGCGGCAGTTCTTGGTTGTATGGCGATCACAGACCTGAAATATACGTCATGTTTTATCATTTTGATGCATGTGCAGTGCTGTTATAGTGGGTGGAGACAATGGTCCTGACTCGCACACATACACATCATGCTAGTATCTCTGCTCTTATATACTGGACAAAAATACTTAGGGATATACGTGAATTTTGAAATTATGAATAATGATCTATTTATTCATTGAAACACTGATAAAATATCAATCATAAAAATACCAATATCCCTCACTTATTTTGTCCAGTATATATCGAATACTCACTCACTCAGTCACTCACTCAGTTACTTACACACTCACTCACTCAAGAAGTCTCAGCCACTCACTCAAGAAGTCACTCGCTCACTCACGAAGTCACTCGCTCACTCAAGAAGTCACTCACTCACTGACTCACTCAAGAGTCACCAAGTCACCCAAAGCAGTCACTCGCTCACTAACCCAAGAAGTCTCTCACTCACACAAGAAGTCACCCAGTCAGTCACCCAGTCACTCAAGAAGTCACTCACTCATGAAGTCATCTAGTCACTCAAGAAGTAACGCTCACTCAAGAAGTCAGCCAGTCACTCAAGAAGTCACCTTCACTCAAGAAGTCACTCACGAAGTCACACAGTCACCCAGTCACTCAAGAAGTCACCACCTCACTCAAGAAGTCACTCACTCACTCACTCAAGAAGTCACTCACTCAAGAAGTCACCCACTCACTCAAGAAGGCACCCACTCACTTAAGACGTCCCTCACTCACTCAAGAAGTCACCCAGTCACCCCGTCAGTACGTGCTATGTATGGAGGTGAATACCTGAGTGTTCTGTGCACATCACATGTCTCGGCAATCCCAGACATCACAACATGCATCAAACTAATACTTTGTAAATAGTAAAAGTAAACTGGTAAACTCAGTTTCAAAGAATAATAATATAAAACAGTCTGACATTGGTTGGCTCATTAGATCGTCTCATCTTCAGCACGTGAAAACATGTGTTCATGTCGCCACCGTGAAGGCCTGCTCCACCAATGCCAGGAGCTACTGTCTCGTTCTATTTAACCATGGCTCTATTCGCAAATTTCTAATAAACCAAAAAGCTAAGGTCATAAACATGGCGCATGAACGATTACAAACGGACATGTCCCATCCCATTCTACTGGCGAAAGGCGCAGGCCTGGTCCTTTTAAGTCCCAGCTAGACAGACACTTATACCTGAAAAAGGTCATGTACAGAGATAGATAGTCTTAATTTCCTCCTTAAGGGAAGTTTACAAAGGTACAATTTAAATGGTTATGACAGGTTTAATGTACAGGTGATAGAAAGGATATTACACAAATAGATGTTTGCATTTATAAATAAAATCAACAGCCAGGAACATTATTTTGCACCAGATATCGAAATCAATGTCAGCAGTACATTCTGGAAAACTACCAAGGAGAAATGTAATCATAATGTCATCATCGTTTTCCCACAAGTTGACAAAGCAATCTACATCGAGTATATCAATGACACTTTCATACAGTTTTCATTTCTTTTATACGGCAAGATGTAAAAACATTCTTAAAGGTCCCATGCAACGCAAAACACAACTCTGCAGATTCTGATACCTTTCGGACAGTAACAAATTATCAAAAATGCAAATTCAACTTATAAAGTTGAAAAATAACGCGAAACACTAACCCAAACACACACACACACACACACGCGCGAAATCGGAGTTCAAACGATTCACTAATTTCACCCCAGCGCTGGGGTGAAAAGTGGTTTCAACAGCTGTGCTGCGCTGTGCCCAAAGCGCATGCGCAGTGATTAGGTTCGCGCGGCTTAAACCGGGAGGGCGAATGTTTTACAGCTCTTATTGAAGTCAAATACCGATCCTATTATTTTACAATCTTTCAATGTGGACTGTGTCCATTTCCGTCACTGGAAACCTGAGACCTGTGTCAATATTATCACGTAGACGATATGTTTTGTCAGCTTTTTTACCGCAAACAAACATATCCTATCCGTAAAGTATCAGAGGACAAAGTAGTACTATGTCAGCCTCAAACTTCTTATGTGATGTTATGCAAAGCTGTTTAGCAGTAGCAGGCTCGGTTTGAACTTCACCAACGTCCTCTGATAAACTGGCGAGACGTCTCAGTACATTTGGTGATGTTGGCAACGTTGATGCAGTAGAGATTGTCTTGGCTTTGTCTCATGAACGCAGCAATCCTCCCAAACCCACTTTCGCTTATGATAAGGACATCACATGTGGACAGGACGATCTGGTCAAGCAAAGTCTTATGGAAAGAGACTCATGGGGAGGTGCAAGCATCACGGTATGGGGTGGAATAGGCCTGAACCAGAGAGTGGGTCCTGTGGTGTTACAGAACCTTGGTTCAGGGAGAGGAGGCGGCATCACAGCGGAGCGCTACATCGACCAAGCTCTCAGACCCCACGTCATACCACATTTCGCACGTCACCGGAACAACATTTTCCAGCATGATAACGGCCGGGTCCATACTGCCAGAGCTGCTCGGGACTTCCTACAGCAGAACGGTGTCAACATTATGTAGTGGCAAGCCCTTAGTCCTGATTTAAACACAATTGAACATCTTTGGGGTGAACTTCAGAGGAGACTGAATATTGTCATACCAAGGCCGAACACAGCCGATTTATTGCGCCAGGCCTTTCTCAGAGTGTGGTTTAAGGTTCCAATGGCCTTCATCAATCGATTGGTGCACTCCATGCATAGACGCTGTGCTGCAGTTATTGCCGCTCGTGGTGGTCACACTAGATACTGAAATCAAGAGTCTGAATGGACTGCAAACGTTCACGTAATGCCTTGGAATTGTGCTGAGTTATTCATTGATGTGTCAAGATACTGTACACAAAAATGGTTTTGATCTGCTTATTATATCCATTTCTGTAATGATTTGTTTACAGTGCCTGTCTAATTTTGAATTCGTACTGACGGGTTTTTTTGCTGCTGAGTACATGTTTTCACATCTTGCTTTGTGGGGGTTGGCAGATTTGCAAACCAAGTTTTCTTCGTTAAAAATTCCCCAGCATGAAAACTGAAATGGTTTAATACATGTCTTATGGAAACATAGAAAAATATGTTGATTGTGATAAGCAATCTGTCACAGACAAAACTCAATGTCTGTTTTATTGACACCTATGTGTCTGCCTGCCTGTGTCTGCTAATGACAATATGCAATACACAACTTCAATCTTTGACCACATGCAGAGGGGGAGGGGAGGGAGGGAGGGAGGGAGGGAGGAGAGAGGGAGAGAGGGAGGGAGGGAGGGAAGGAGGGAGAGAGGGAGAGAGGGAGAGAGACAGACAGACAGACAGACAGACAGACAGACAGACAGACACACACGCACACACTCTCTCTCTCACAGACACACTCACACACCCACACCAATGTTTTCACACAGCTGCTAGACTCTTTAGACAGGGTTGAGAATAGAATAGAATAACCTTACATACACAATACACATGCATGTATGAGCCCGGGACTATAAGGATCAAGGCAGTGGTGTTGACAAGACGGTTATACGGGAATGAAACCTTCTGTCAGCGGATCCTGGTACAGCTTGGTCAATCTCGATCTGACTTACCATGTAAACCTATGTTCTTCCAAGAAAGACCAATCTTGGCTCTATGGCTTTGCGTAATATAAATGTGAAGGTTAACATCTATACCATAGCTCTGTTCAAATGACCTTGTCGGCAACAGCGTGTTTGTAAATCGAAACCCCATTTACCGTTTGTTTTATCCACAAAGCGTTTCTAATATAAACAAAGAAAACCATTAAGTCTGCGTCGAGTGCACAATCCCATTTGTCTACTTCATCCATTACAACTTATCGTATGCGTTAACGAAAGAACAATACAACGTCAAATTCGGCGCCAACTACAACATGCACACCAGATCTTACCTTTCTTCGTCTCGTAGGCGAGGGTCAGTGCGGCAATACAATACCGTTCTGTGAAGTTAAAGTCACTCTCAGTGAGGTAATGATCATGCTGCCATATTGATCGTCGTGCAGTTGTTGATCCAAACAGATCAATACTGATACTTTCAGCGACGTATTTTCAATAATTGATCATTTCCTTGATTAACGTAACCTTCCAACTGACTAGAGTATTAAATCTGAATGTCATGTTGTTCTAGATAACATCAGTAACAACCGGCGTCATGACTTGAAACCTTGGAGTCAACTTTGTGTGCAGACTCTTTTAGTGTTGTCACAACCCCAAGTGTACAGTACACAACCCTGTGCACTTAAAAGAACCCACGAATATATATCCAGATATGACCAGATGGTGGCAACATGGATACGTGCAAACACCTAGTTACGGGTACAGCAACGTGCAGTAAACTTGGACAAAGTACTGTGACTATGTTTCCCAGTCCACCCAGCTGTGAATTGGTACCCCGTAAGGATGGGAAAGCCACATTAACTCGGTGCGCCTAGTGGCTGCAAGAGTAGTATGCTCACCTAGGGAGTTGAGATTGATAATACGATGGGCCGTTGAGACTGACATCCTATGATCGTGGAAAAAACAAAGCGACTGTGAGCAGCCTAGCTGGAACTCGGCGCTATATAAATAGATAATAATAATAATAATAATAATAATAATAATTACGCTGTGTCTGTATGTGTCTGTATGTGTGTTTTATTACACTATACATGGTGGTAGAGCGAACTGTATTTCTTAAATGACACAACATGACATCTGAATAGACGCAACCTCAAGTAAAGAATTCCATTGCTGTGCCTGACAGCAGCATACTTTGACAATGAATATATTTTTATAATGAACAAAATATAGCATATGTCCACTGTTGCTTAGACGATTTTTAGGGCATCGCTCACCCACATACTGTAATAAAACACACGGAAATGTTTAATTCATTGTGGATTCTTGTTGTTTTCTGGTGTCAGTAGATTTTCGGAGCTGATCTTCGATAAGCGATTATTTGGCGATTATATTCCTTCTATCAGAATTGGTAAATCCCTTCCAAAGGTCACGTTCATTTCATATGAAACACGTTTCTCTTCTAAAGGTTCCGCCATACACTGAACTCACAGGTAATATGCCTTCACAGTTTTTTCAAATAAAGAATTAGATGACTACCTTACTTACCTGGATGCATCTAAAGCCAACACAGGAATGCAGTCCGGGAACACTGTGCTGTGAACATTTCTAAATTCATCGATGTAGTTTAAAACAAATATTAGTTGCACACCAATACGGAAAGCCAGACGTTAGTTCAGCGTTGCGATCTTTATCTGGCCCATTGTCTTGAATGGCAGGGGTAGCACACCCAAAGGTTTATTGAGGCAGGCACAATGTCTTGAATGATTTAAGACTATTGTATTTCTGTCTGAGCCATTGTTTAAAATGAATGATGTATGTAATGTGCTTTAACCACGTTAAACATTTTTAGTGATTAACATCAGTAGGTAAGTGGCACGACAGATTGCCATCCTCATCCGCGAGACCTTGAAATGTAGAACAGTTTCATAATCATTAAAGGTCACATGCAACCAAAAACTCAAACATAATTAAAACACAATTATCACTTCTTCATGACATATAATATGCATTGCTGATTATGAAAAAACAAATAAACAAAATTATAAGCGTATAATCGCAAATCAAAAGTGCAATATTGTGTACTTGGGTTTACCTCCCTCGAAACGAAGCAGCCGGGATACCGAACCCAGTCAGAGCGGGTGGGTGTGCACTCAAGTGTAACGGCTGGTTCATTAGCAGATGCCGCCTTCACGGCTGGCTCATGGTGTGTGTGTAGAGATGTTGGGTTTTGTGTTCAAGTATCACACCTGCATGTCTGTGTAATTACATAATGTGACAGAGACCGAACTCGGGCCATAAATCAATGCGTTTTGTTTATGGTGTATAGCCTGATTGGTGTTAAGTTCAAATTGCATGTGGTCAGTGATCGCAGTTGTGTATTGAATATTGTCATTAGCAGACAGGCAGGCAGAGACACAGGTGTCAATAAAACAAGACATTGAGTTTTGTCTGTGACAACGACATATCTATATCACAGTTAGAAATTGTGTCAACGCTAAATAATGACATTGCTTTTAAGTATCGAACTGAGAAAGTGACTCGGTAAGAAGAACGTGTGGTGAAATAGACAATTGAAATTATATAAACAGTTAATTTACTGTCATAACATATAAAAAAGCTCGCGCCTGTGAGATATCAACAAAACATTAGAAAAATAGCTCACACCAAAGCCTTCACCGAGTATTCACCCGACAACCCGCTTCCAAGCTGCGCGAACCTATTTACTTGCGCACGTGCTATGAGCGCAGCCCAGCTGTTGAAACCCGTATTCCCCAGAAAAGTCTGGGGAAAATTAGTGAAACGTTTGAACTCCGATTTCGCGCGTTTTTTTTCATTGCGTTATTTTTCAACTTTATAAGTTGAATTTGCATTTTTTGACGATTTGTTTCGCTATGTCCATACCGAAAGGTATCAGAATCTGCAAAGTTGTGTTTTACGTTGCATGTGACCTTTAACATAACACGTCAACAGCAGTGTCCATCAGGATCGGTTCTTCCTGTCATTGAAAACTCTGTATATACACATTAAATGTATTATATTCACATTAAACAACTGGGGCACGATATCCAGTTGCTCCATTTATGAGGTTCGACGGTGCATTGGTTTATTGATTGGTTTATTGATTACTTTATGATAACTTCAGTCTCTTTTTCTCAGCTCCATGATCGTGACGCTGGGAAAAACAGTATCTATAATTAATGCGAATCGGATACACCAGTATGCACATGAGGGTGTTATTGATTGCCGTACCACAGCTAGTTTTAACTTTCTATCTGTGATAACCTAGTTGTTTTACTGTCCTTTGTTGGCAGATATTACGAAATAACCTCTTTTTATTATTAAAGTATACATTGTTATAGACACGATATGGCTGCAATATTGCCGATGTGACTCTAAATCTTAACTCACTCACTCACTCGCTCACTCACTAGACAGTGGACTGTTCCTTTATACCCGTAGGTGTTACCCCAATCTTGCCGTCTCAATACTCACTGGGGCTCCTTTTCAATTTAAAATAAATTGTTTGTATCTATCAAAGTTATTTAAATATTCATAGACTAAACGTGAGTCTAGCACATTCATACACCAGAATGCATGTTCCAGAATATAGTGGATATTTCTGTGACCCATTATAATGTGTAGGTAACAGGTAGTAGCTAATCTGTTCATTGAACCGTAAATGTTGTTTTAAGGCGTCTGCGAATTGCCTGTCTGCGTAATGGGAGGATACCGTAGACAACCGGTAGAGACCATTGCGCGTCGTGTGTAAGATGGCCGTGGCATACCGCCAGGGGAGGTAAATATTGAACCTTGAGTGTGTACGTGAAAAGGGAAAAGTAGTGTTGTTTTCGCAAATGCCCTTCTTGTCAAGGAGGCCCTCAACTCATCAATACAACACACAGCTTCTAAACCAGTCATGTTGAGCATGGTAATTGACGACTACCAGTAGAGACCATTGCACGTCGTGTGTAAGATGGCCGTGGCATACCGCCAGGGGAGGTAAATATTGAACCTTGAGTGTGTACGTGAAAAGGGAAAAGTAGTGTTGTTTTCGCAAATGCCCTTCTTGTCAAGGAGGCCCTCAACACATCAATACAACACACAGCTTTTAAACCAGTCATGTTGAGCATGGTAATTGACGAGTACAATTCAATTACAAAACAGCACAACTGGCAAGAATTAAAACAAATGAGAGTTACCTCCCCTAGACTTGTGATTACAGACATTTTCAACTTACTTCAAAAGAGAAGAATGGTGTGTTTTAGAGTGTTTTTAGATCTTTATGGGACCCATTGTCTTGAATCGCACGGGTAGCCCACTCAAGGATTTATTGAGGCAGGTACGATGTCTTGAATTACTTAAGATTTTTATATTTCTGTCAGTTGTTCAAAGTAACACCCATGGTGCCTAGTATGGTGATCTACCTTCAGTTGTTGGCGATCTATAGCCCAATTTTACATTGTATTGTCCAGAAATAATTTTCTCCTTTTAAATATATATGCTAGCTAGTTTTAACTCAATCTGTGATAATCTAGTGGTTTTACTGTCCTTCGTTGACAGGGTTTTATATATTATATGTATGTATTCCAAATTTAGAACTAGTTTTAGTCACGATATGACTGAAATATTGCCGATGTGACGTTAAATCTTAACTCACTCACTCACTCAAAGTAACACCAGTGTCGATCAGGATGGGTTCCATTGGGCGTAAAGACAGAGTAGTGGTTAACATATGAGTCGCTGGATCTCAGCGATGACACGGAGGAGGGTAAGGATGTTCCAGAGGTAACATGTAACAATGATGTTTTTTAAAGTAATATTTTAGCAATATGGATAGTTCTTTACAACTTATTGCAATTCGTAAACAATCTTCTTTACGACCTCTTTTAGCTTCCCCTCTTTACCGAATCTATAAAAGAAACATATGTTAACCGCATTGCTTTAGTATTCATATTTTTATGGTATGTTTCTTTTTAACATGTATCCTAATATCTATACTTTTACTTAATGCATTTTTATAACCCAATCTGTATATTAATCAATGGGTTGTTTAATATAGACTGTTCACTCTATACACTAATGACTGCACTAGCGTAGAAAATAAATGTATAAATGTGAAGTTGTGCTGGTGATGAACGGTACCACCCCAACAGTACCACCTTTGTTCATTAATGATGAACCAACTGATACAGACACTGAATACAAGTACCTTGGAAATTTTATTGATGGCAGGTTAACGTGGAATACCAACACAGATGCCCTGTATAGTAAATGTCAACAACGCGTCCATCTAATGCGCAAACTGCGATCTTTTAATGTTTCCCAATCTGTTATGAGGGTATTTTATACCACTTTCATTCAGAGTATACTCACTTTTTCTTCTCAGCGCTGGTTCGAGTCTCTTTCAGCCAAAAACAAATCAAAACTTAACAAAATTGTAAATACAGCTAGTAAAATAGCCGGGGTCACTTTCGATAATCTTTCACTTCTCTATGAGCGGCAAGTACTTTCAACGTCTGAAAAAATCATTAATGACACAACACATGTTTAAGCTTTTACCTTCGGGCCGCCGCTATACAGTGCCAATCATCAAGACTAAACGAGCTCTACCGTCTTTTATACCTCAAAGTATTGTAATTTTAAACTAATGTTAAATGTCCAGTTATCATCTTATTCATTTAATTATATCTAAGCACATATTTATCTCTTTTTATGTTTTTAGTAATTCATTCATTCATTTGTATTTTTGTCAAGCTCTGTGAACCAAAATGAATCTTTTTAAGGTAATAAAGTATTGTCTGTCTGTCTGTCTGTATACATGTGTCTCATAAGCCATTTATTGGCTGTGCCTACACTCGTAATTGTATCATATTTAAATATTGTTTGTGCTTGTCAAGATCAAGATCAAGATGGTTTATTGTTCATAAGGCCTCTGGCCCGTATACATAGTATTGTAATGACAGGCAAGGTATGGACATTGCAAACAGTGGAAAGCATCATAACATTGTTAGATTAGTTGACAGGAGAAATTAGACTCTTCCTTAACGACAGCGAATATGTTGAACACAGGGCTAATTTTACATGGACAGATTCGTCTTTTGATGATAAAATTCTTATAAGTGTTTCCCTTGTAGGGTGACCCAGATATTTCTATGGAATGTACTCCTTTCTTAAATCGGCATAAGCATCACATATAAATAACAGATGATATTCGTCTTCGATATCCGCCATACAGACAGGGCAAAATCTGAGATGTTTGGCCAGTGACGTGTTACGGCCAGTATTGATGATTACATCTGTCAGGCCAAGTCTAAATCTAATAACTGTATTTCTCAGTTTCTTGCTTGTAATGTTTGATAGATATGTCTCAGGTTCGATCAGTGTTTTAAAGGATCTATATACATCAAATCTAGAACTTAAATTAAGGGTATTCATCCAATTCTGGCGAAACATATCCACGGCTCTTTGACGAAATTCGTTCATAAATAGCTCACTCGTTACCGACACCTTGGAAAATCCACACATATCCAAATCCATACGAAAATAACAGCTATCTTATATTTGTTGCCCATGTTACATAACCAAGATTATCTAAATTAAGCAGCATGTTATAAGACTTTCTGGGTAGACGCTGTTCATGCATTTTCAGTATTTTGAACCAGTATTTTATGCAGCGAAGGTGAGAGTTTATATAAAGTGGGTATCTCCCACATTCTCCATATACCATATAGTTTGGTGTTGTAATGTTAACATTAAGGTGCTTGTTGAGTTGTTTGGTGTAACACACACAAAACAAATTTCTTCTTCTTCCGTAACACCGCCGCTCACTTACGTTACTGCCTAAAAGTTAATTTCCTTTACACGCGTGGGTAACCCGTGACGCAACCTGTGTGAGTCTAACATTTTTAGTGATTAAAATCATTATTGCACTTGCACGACAGTTTGTCATCCTCATCCGTGAGACCTTGAGATTCAGAACAGTTTTATAATCATTCTCATAACCACTCATTCTCAATGTAAGTGCACAATTGGAAATATGTATTTCGAAAAAAATCGAAAGTTGGAATAAGAGTATGAAATACACAATGCCATTTAGAAAGTGGTCAAATGTAACATATGTTATATTTGGGATTACACTTTCTTTGTAAAAGACTCAACCCAACAAAAGTACTAGAATCTGTACTTTACAAAGAAAGTGTAATCCCAAATATAACATATGTGTATTTCATAGCTTTCGGCCGTGGGAGCCGTGCCAATTAACACTTATCAGAGGGGTACACACAGTCCGCAGTCTAGAGTACCAGTTGTCTGACTTCCATTTTTGTGGAAGCCGCGGTGGCTGAGCGGTCTAGGCGTCTGACTTTGTGTGCTGGCGATTAGGTGCCTGACTCTGAGGGTTTGGGTTCGAATCCCGGATGGGACTCAACCCAACAAAAGTACTAGAATCTGTCCTTTAAGTGTAATCCCAAATATTACATATGTTACATTGGAATCAGAGGTTGTAATGGTACGTATTTGTACACTACGTTTATGAATTTTCAACATCCAATTCAAACCAAATTTCTTGTTATCATGGTCCAAACATTGTAATTTATGATTTTTTAAATATAATTGATAACTGTAGTTCAAACAATGTGTAAACCTTTAAAATTGTATTCATTTATAATCAAGAATATATATTCATAGACTCTTAGAAATATAAACCTCTGTCCTAAACATCGTCCGTAGTATAATACCTAATGAGGATGGAAGTAGGTTTGATTCTATTTTACGTTATGAAAAACATTTATGTTCGTGGAAGAACCATCTGGCCTTACACGCGACTATCTTTTAGCATAAACTACACCTAAGTAACTTCCAACCGATAATCGCATTTAGCGTTAACCGCTAAATTGTGTTATTGTTGGCGTCGCCATACCACGTGCCTTTGTTTATAAACATGACCTTGGTGCGCGCAGCTGCAAACATTACGTCAACACATGACGTCACACTGGAAAAATAATCCACATTTACAAGCTTGGAAATGTCTTGGAAAGATGATGTTTCCAAGACATTTCCAATTTTGGAAAGATGATGTTTCCAAGACATTTCCAATTTTGGAAAGATGATGTTTCCAAAAATTTCCAATTTTGGAAATATCCGCAAGGGGAGATAACTGGTGGGTGATGGTAAATTATTGTTCTGCATGGGCTAATTGCTATAGTGGCATGGGAGCGGCATGAGTGTTTCATGGGGGGCGTTATGGCGACTGGCGGTAGTCTTTGACGTTTGGTGTTGTTTTAGTAATGATTGTTTAAGGGATTAACGAAAGGATTATCGACTTGACTAGTCGAAATTGCGGTGTCTGCACAGGACGTCGACCCTTGGGTGAAATGTCACGGTTCAGTTAAGAAAAAAGGTCGACGTCCTGTCCATTTGACCTTATACCAATTAACAGGGGATTAGAAAAGACAAAGAAATTATCCAGTGTTCTCACAAGGCGATAATCCAGATTATGCGGTTGAGAACACAGACAACAGGAGAAAAGTACTATAATTCGTCCATTTTATTTCGTATACAAAATCATCCAACATGAAGTAGGTGAGATGCACCATTTGCAAACTGGTTCATCTGAAAGATAGTAAAAGTAGATTTATTATTTCTTTTTACACATTCTTTTACACAGACCACGTTACACCACTCTACTGCTATACATAAATTGTTAGAATTGTTAACAAAATCTATTAAACGATATGCAAAACATGGTCACGTACATTATTCAGATTTGATATATCTATTTTACTTTTATATTTTCCTTAGTAACAGATTGATATCTGGCATTGACAAGATGCTTACCTTTATGTCTACTTGGACACGGGGATGAGCATGGTCACCTTTCACCATCGTCACAATGTCATTGACAGTTGACGAAGTGAAATTACACTTCTTTTCTGTGCACTTCCAGGATATCCAATTTCGCTTCACTCATAAATCCACCAACACACAGGTATCTTCCACCACTGGATGTAACTGTGTATTTGACATATCGAAATTGAATGCAATCTACCGCGTGTTCCTTCCTTAAATATGTTCATCATTGTGAATTCACTCTCATATGTATGATAACATTGATGACATTTTGAGTGAAATATGTTCACGCCTTACGCGATGCTCCGGTTATGGAAAATCTTAAAACAACACCTACTAGCGGATTAGCATGACTCTAGCAACGCCTTCAACATCAAAGTTTACCGCGCGTCGACTTCGTGTCCATAGCGAAATTTCAAAAGGTCGACTTCTTGTCCATAAACCGAAATTGCAGTGGTGAACACATTTTAAATGTTCAATGTTTTGGGTGAAAAGTGAATTTTGTCACGTTTAGTTTAAGTATGTGTCATCGTAAGCATATATCAAGTGGGTGAGAGTTAATTTCGTACAAGGGCCACCGACCCGTTATACAATTATAAAGATGACAATACAATCCAGCGCCATATATAATATTAAGCTGTATGCTAACATGTACAATGTCTCATTTAACTTATACTCTACATTCAAAAACTTCGCTCTTTTTGTCAATGCAAGAAATATAAACTTAGCAAGATTGTTAACAGTTGTAGAATTGCAAGACAATAATAAGTTGATAAATTTAGTTTCACATGGATTATTTATGTAGTATTGTGGAAGCAGGCTGTTTCTCAGATTACAGTAAAATGAACATTCAATAAAGAATTGGTACTCTGATTCAATTGTAAGTACAATACACAGAGGGCAGAATCGCTCATGTTGTTTTATATTTACTTTTCGCCCATATTCCAACATTAAAGGATGGTCTGAACAACGAAACTTACTCAAAGCAAAACGAATCGTTGCGTTGCCGTCAATCGTTGCCCTCCTTGGGGGTCGAGTGATGGTGTCACCATGCACTAATTTCCACCGGACCCCGCATTTCGTGCTAAATGGGTTATGTTTGTGAGTGCGAAGCGAGCGTTGTGGAAGCTTGGAACGATATCTTAAATGTGTTCAGATCGCTTCGCCGAAGTTAAATAATCAAAACTACTTACTAGTTGTAGTACAATAAAAATATTATTGATGACCAAAAAGATTTTCCATGACACAACTTGAAGCATAACGATTTCTTTCTCGGAAGCGAGGTTGTGGTGGAAGTGACAATAATATTGTAAGTAGTGTTATATTGACTCCCACCTCGCTTCCACGAGAGAAATTGTTATGTTATAAGATATGTCATGCAAAATCCTATTGGCCATCAATCAAATACATATTTTACTACCAGTGGAAAGTAGTTTTGTTTTGGTAACTCGGTGAAAACAAACCTAAATAGCATTTATTCTCAGACTGGCGGATGTTCGCGACAGGCCGGGCGCTGCCATTTTTAATAATCGTAACATCACGGGCTAAAGTCTGTTAAAGAATTAATGAGATTATGGTTTGTTTTTATCAAGTTAGAAAATCAAAACTAATTTCTACTCGTAGTTAAATATATATTTGAATCATGGCCAACAGGTGGGGGTCGAAGTGACAATACTGCGCAATAAATTTCTTGCTACACTCAGGTGGTTAACGTCCACTCACCAGTATGTAGATACTAGTCAACGTGCGTCTTTATATTTGGTCTTATAATCCTAATTAGTTTATTATCATACTTGTATGCATTTTGAAACTAAATAAAAATCAGGCGATCTGCCTATACTTATAACTTGAATATCTAGACATTTTATAGTTTGCCAATGTAAATCATAATTCGCACACACGCCCTAGTGTATGTTGTCTGTCTCATTACTTCACGGCGAAAACAATGATTCTGTTGAATGCCACGACAAATGAATAAAAATAAAATGCAATTATTAAAATTAAAACAGATTAGAGTTATAAGAACAATGTCAGGCTATTACTTTGTTCGAGGAATGTATCCATCAGTATCCACAAAAACGAGTGATATGCCATTCACCTGGAGCTGTTCCAAATGATACATCTAATACATGTTTACGAAAAGTGATAAATCTTTTCAGGTATTTCACATTGGTATATAGTCTCATTGGTCACCCAAGATAGCATACCTGGGAACTAATCGCATAATGTCCACCATCCTTTACAAAAAAAGTAATTTAGTTAGCCAGTAATGAGCAATCAATCAATGTCTTGGCGGTTAATCCTTTGAAAGAAGGAAGTTGTTTTACGCAGACACCGACACGACAGAGTGTATTCAGCATAGATTAGTAAATCTACATACATGAACACTACCTTTTGACAAATCTTCTGTGTAAAGTAAAAGTAATTAATCAATCAGCGTGTTATCGGTTAATCCTTTGATCGATGTTTATAATGTTGAGTATTTACTCCAGACACAAGAAATGAAAAATGGGAACCTTTGTCGGGTTATCCAAGTGGTGATACCACTAATTATACCTGTTTTAAATTCATTAACTGACCATCAAGTGAATGATGACAAATAACATGTGTAGGTTTATATCACCTAACACGGTTTACAACAAGGGAGTATTAATTGCTGTATTGCATGCAATTTTAATTGCATGTGAAAACCTATGGGCCGACACTATTTTGAGAATACGGACATAACTTCATTGTTGCATAAGACATACATATAAGCATTTGCTGTGTGCTAAAACTGTAGCAATGGCAAAGTGGGGTTGTTTAGTTTACGGATTCAAATAGATCAAATGTCATTTTTTAATATTATACGTCATATTTTTAAATGACGTCAATAAATATCGAGGTAAAATTCCCACAGAAATGGGATCAATTATGATCATTAGAAAACCTGCAAAAGCCCACACTGCTTTGATACTTTAATACAATCAGACAAGAACTACCGGGGAAATTTTCAAATAAAGGCATCTGATGGGCATCCACCCTTCCTAATGTCGCACTGTTTAGGTTGAAGTAATTAACCGTAACCGAGATGAGCGAGGCTGATCATAGATTTCACTATCACTAGCGGCTGGCTCGAACAAATAAGGCCCAGCGACACCAGGCAATTACGACAGAATCGTCTATGAAAACAAGTTGTAACAAGTTATCACTTATTTATGGCATATAATATACATTGCTGATTATGAAAAAAACAAAATTAAAAGCGTACAATCGCAAATCAAAAGTGCAATATTTTGTACTTGGGTTTACTTCCCTAGAAACGAAGCAGCCGGGATACCGAACCCAGTCAGAGCAGGTGGGTGTGCACTCAAGTGTAACGGCTGGTTCATTTGCCGATGCCTTCACGGCTCATTGTGTGTGTATATATAGAGATGTTAGGTTTTGTAAATACGGTGTCGTACCGGGAAGGCTAAAATGTATTTTTCAGATGTCCCGGGAAGGCTAAAATGTATATTTCGGATTTCCCGGGAGAGCTAATTAGGGGAGTACCGCCAAAGCTAAAGATACGGTGCCGGGAAGCATAATCCATGCCGGGAGTAGATACATTTCTTTTCAAAACATTGTTATAATAGAGTCTTTATCAGACAGACAGACAGACAGTTTATTCTCAAGAGAACCCACCAACGGTGGTACATGAGAAAAGTACAATATAAATTCGCATATGATAATATAATCAATCAAGATGACAGCAATATAAGGTAAATACATATATATAGTGAAATTTTCAATGAAATATGGCAAAGTAAGTTAGCAATATTCTCATGCAGCTGCAACTAGTCTGAAGATGATGTTGATGAATTTAGACAGGTCTTTCACATTTTTTTACTCTGGTGCTAGATAAACATTTTTTTTAGCTTGAACATATTAGGCCATTCGTAGAGATCTTTACGTATGTGTATAGACCGCGGCTGGAGAAGGGCTTCACACCTGAACAGGTAGTGGAACTAATCACCAACCGCCGGGGAATTACATAGATGGCACAAACGTTCCACTCTTGGGGTTTTAGACAAGCGTCCAGTTTCAACTGGTAAGTTGTAATTTGATGTTCTAAATTTCAAGATTGGGTAATAGACGTGTTTTGGTAGATAAAGGTATTTTTCAAAACTTATATTTTCTTTAAACATTTTATAGTACACACCTTTCGGGCTTTCAATAATGGAACTATGCCAGTTCTGCAGCAACTGGTCTTTCAATATTTCTTCAACTTTTGAAGCTAACCACCGTGAAGAACACATAAACGGATTGTCAAATATATCACCTAATCCACAGTTATTTAATATTTTCTTAACGAACGTTGTCCATAGTAGTTTTTCAGTGTTGTCAGTGAAATTACTGGTGATAAATCTGTAGATAATATTTGTTAGTTTTGGAGTTTCATTATGACTTGCCATTTTGTGCCAGAATAGAATAGCACGTTTATATATTTTGATGTAGAGGGGTTCCCTACCAAGTTCTCCATAAATCATATAGTTTGGTGTTGAATTTCGAAGACCTGCTGCCAACTTAAGAAATTTTAAATGAACCTTTTCAATTAGTTTTATGCTTTCAAATGCCCAGATTTCAAAGCAGTACATTAGGATCGGAGCAAACAAAGTGTCAAATGCCGATATTAAACAGTCCAACGATAGATTGACTCGTCGTGCTTTTTTTAATAATAAGAAGATAGCTTTTGTTGCATTTTCTGCTAAGACTTTAATGGCTTCTACAAATCTCCCGTTTCTGTGTAACTTTATTCCAAGGTAGGTATAGGTATCAACCATTTGGATAGTTTGACTGCCGAACGTGAATTTATATTTTAGTTTACTGTTTTTAGCAGGCCCGCTTCCAAAAACTATTATTTTGGTTTTGGACAAGTTTACTTTTAGTTTCCATCGTGAACAATATACATGAAAAGTGTCGAGTGAATGTTGTAAGTCTTGAGGGTCTTCACTGAATACGACAGCATCATCTGCATATAGCAAGACAATAAACTGCAGGCAAAGTATCAATTCGGTTTCGGTTTGGTATTCTAGATTAACACCTTTACTTCCTTGTTTCAGTAGAAATGGCTCAATATCATTCATAAAAAGTGAAAACAAAAGTGGCGATAGATTTTCCCCTTGTCTTACTCCCGTGTTGCATGGGAAGAATGAGGATATTTGATTATGTAACATGACAATGGATTTTATATTCTTATACATGTTCTTTACTAAGTTAAAAAATCTACCAGATATTCCACAGTTTAGCAGTTTATACCACAGACCAGCCCTCCACACAGTGTCGAACGCTTTTG